CAGTTAATGAGTGCACCATGCAGCACCCACGGTCCATTGCAGGCTGCTCAATCAGTAGCGCAAATCTAATTATCAGAGACCAGAGCCTATGGCCTGTCACTCAGGATATCCGAGGGTGTGGGTTTTGCTCAGCATAAAAGGTAACCAGGCAGTGGTCAGCCTGGAGCTGTTTGTGAGCTACAGCCCAGGGGACGAGGGTTAGTGAAGAACAGGACTTCCACTGTCCTGTATACTCCAATCTGGCCAAGAGGCTGACATGGGATCTCTGGTGCTGCTGAAAGACCCCCCCCCAGACCCCAAGAGTTTGGAGCCTGTCAGGGGGAAGGCCCTTGCCCCCAAGAGACGAGACCAGACCACTGGATGCAAGTGCAAGAGGTTGTTTATTGTTTACACAGGTACCTGTGGACGCTTCAGTCTTTCGGGGGACTGAGCGTGCTGAGGTTAAAACTCAGGCAGTTTATATAGGGTTGGGGTGGCAAGAAGCAGGCTTATAGAAGCAGAAGCATGGTTACAGGGATTTCATTGTTTCATCTAAATGTTGCAGTTGTAGTTAACCAAGGACAGTTGGTTATTCGGGTTGGGCACAAAGAATACAAAGAATTCAGTTATGACTATCTCAGCATACTGGACACTGTCCTGCTGACCTTGCTTTGGTCCAAGCTGCAGACCACAGATATCTGGTTGGCGTTGGATGAGAGCAGCACCTGGTTCCCTCCTGTACTTTTCTCATAACTTGACTTTGGCAAATTAGCAAGAGCAATTTAAACAGGCAATAAGCATAGTGGGGGTCTTTCATTCCCCCCTTTTTCTATAAAATGAATAAAACCCTTTATTCATGGTTTTTCAGTTTTCATTTGTTTTAATTGCTGGTACTGCTGGGTCAAAACTAGGGCCTAAACAACTGACAAGTGTGTGTGTGTGTGTATTTTTGAACAGTACCAGTCTATTTAAAATGCATCCAGGCAGCAATCCTGTCTACTTTCAGGGCGGTGGGAGTTGTCAGGAGCACAGTGTAGGGGCCCTTCCAGCGGGGCTCTAAGTTTTTAGTCTGATGTCTCCGAACCCAGACGGAATCGCCAATCTGGAAAGAGTGGGGCTGACAAGAGGTTCTTTGTTCCTCCTGGGATGCGGCCGCCAGAGGTTTCCAGACCTCTTCTTGGACTATCTGTAAGGCTCATAGATGCACCTGTGGCATCCCATATCTGGGAAAGATTTCTTTTAATAGTTTCTTGGTGACCATTTTTGCAGTCTCATGTTTGGTAGGAAACGCTTTTATCCATCCTGAAAAGGTGTCTATAAAAACCAGTAAATATTTATAACCATATATTCTAGGTTTGACTTCAGTAAAGTCTATTTCTCAATGGACATCAGGCCTATGGCCACAAAGCTGGGTCCCAGAATTCAGTTTGGTTTTTCCTTGGTTGATCTGGGCACAGGCCAGACAGTTAGCAGTTACTTGTTCCAGTATTAAATTCCGATTGGGAAGGTAAGTTCCAATTTCTTGTCTATCTAGCAAAGTTTTTATCTTTTTGGCGCTTAGATGAGTCAGTTTATGGAGGTGGTCTATTAACATTTTTGCCATTTTTATAGGCAGTATAGTCTTTCCTTGGTAGACCCAGCATTGCTGATTGGGGTCATAATCTGCACCTAGTTTCTGAACAATGTCCAAATCCGTTTCATCATAGTCCCAATCTGGAGTCTTAGCTGTTTCCTTTTCAGTCAATATGCTAATAGTCAATAGTTGGGGGCTTAAGGCTGCTTGTTTGGCTGCTTCATCAGCCAGGCGATTTCCTTTTGCCTCCAGGCTTTCTCCCTTTTGATGTCCAGGCCAATGCATTATGCTCAACTTTTTAGGAAGGAACAGGGCCTTTAATAATGTCAAGATTTTATTTTTATTTTTGATTTCTTTGCCTTTTGATGTTAAAAGGCCCCTTCTCCGATAAATTTCTCCATGGACATGGGCAGTGGCAAAGGCATACCGGCTATCAGTGTACACATTAAGCTTCTTACCTGCTGCTATCTGGAGAGCCTGAGTCAGAGCAAAGGGTTCAGCTCGCTGAGCAGAGGTGCCTCCAGGGAGTGCAGTGGCCCATATGACCTCTGAGGCATTCGTCACTGCAGCCCCTGCCCGTCTCTCACCATTTAGCAAGTAGCTGCTGCCGTCTGTGAACCAGGTGTAGTCTGCATCTTTCAAGGGCTGATCGGTCAGATCAGGCCACATTTCATGCATCTCTGCAAGGATCTGCTGACAGTCATGGGAGACTGGTTCCTCCAGCAGTGGTAACAAGGTGGCTGGGTTCAGGGTTATTATTAGGGATGGCTGTTGTATGGCCAGCCCATGCCCCCTGTTTCTGCCCAGGCCAGGGGGTGTTGTTTTAACCATAAGTCCATTCCTTCCTGCTGTTCAGGAGGCTTTTCAAAAAGTCTATATTCATTTTCCAATTGTAAAGTTAATATTTGAAGTGGAGCCCCTTGTGGGCCAGAGACTTTAGCTCCTGATCCTTCAAAATGGATCTGGGCTTTTAATTTAGTCAGTAGATCTCGACCCAGTAATGGATATGGACAGTCCGGTACATGCAAAAAGGAATGTGAGACTTTACCTGATGCGAGATGAACTTTTCTCTCCGTGGTCCATCGGTATTGTTTTTCTCCGGTGGCTCCTTGTACCCAAGCTGTTTTGGTATTCAATGGCCTGTTCGTTTCGGTGAGAACTAAATGTTGGGCTCTAGTGTCCACCAGGAAGGTGACTAGCTGCCCCTCCCCCCGACTTTTAAGGTTAGCCTGGGCTGGGGGAGGGGGCTCCTGGCCCCGACCGCCCTAGTCTTCGTCTAGGGGCTAGAAGCTGAGTTGGTCTTTGGGGTCCATCCTCATGCCTCTGATTTTTAGGTCTCTTAGGGCAATCTTTGACCCAGTGGCCTTTTTCTTTGCAGTAGGCACACTGGTCTCGATCTACCCTGGGCCTCCTTCTTTTTCCTTCCTTTCCTGACTTCCTGCACTATGATTATTCTGAGCTACAGTGGCCAGGATTTTGCTTAATTCTCTCCGGTTCCTATGATCCCTCTCTCTCTCTCTCTCTCTCTCTCTCTCTCTTTTTCTCTCTTTTCCTCTCTCTCTTTTTTTCTCTCTTTTCCCCCCCTCTCTTTTTTTTTCTTTCTCTCTTTTAGCTCCTTCTTAAACTTGTCCTCTCTTTCCTCCTGCAACTTTCTAAGTCTTTTTTTTTTTTTTTTTTTTAAATCTCAGGTGTTTTTTTTTTTTTTAAAGATCTTTTTTGCTTCCTTTACGAGATCCTGCAGGCTATAATTTTATAAATTATCTAGTCTCTGAAACTTAGTCCTAATATCTGGAGCCGACTGCCAAATGAAAGCCATAGAAACATTGCCCCTTTGCTCGTTACTATCAGAATCAAAGGGTGTATACATACGGTAGGCTTCCTTTAGCCTCTCCAAAAATGCAGTCGGAGTTTCCTCTGGTCCCTGGGTTATCTGTCTTACCTGAACCAAATTCCTGGGACAGCTTCCCAGGCCTGCAGAGACCTGCTGAGAGTAACTGGCGATAAAGATGTAGGTGTTAAAGTCCCAGCAGGGACGATTTAGGGGAAAAATTTCCTCAATTTTATTTGGCAACTGAGTGGGCTTTTTTATCATCCTCTAAGACGGTTTCTCCCAGGAAGATGTGTTGTTCCCCCCCCCCAAGGTTAGGAGGACCTGCAAAAGCCATATTCAAGTAAGTTAGAGAGCTACAGGGTCTTTGGTGAAGGAGGGGTTGTTAGATTTTTCAATTATAAAGGTTGGACGCCGAGAAAGACCAGTATTGAAATTGAAATTGGCCTCCTAATCCAGCAGCCTGGTGCAGGGGAAAGGCTCAGCAGGTTCCTTCGGTGGCTGGCTGCCTTTGATCTCGGAGTCAGCTGGCTACCGGGGAGTCCGACACAGTTTTTTTTTTTTTTTTTTTCTTTAACCAACTGATTGTGAGCTCGGCTCTGTACATCATCAATGATCTAAAATAAACTTAAGGGGGTGGTTAAAGATTGTTTTATATTTTCTTCGAAATAATCAGACAGATAAACAGAACAGACAAAACACATAGACAGCCGGCACAAAGACACGCTGCGCGTTTTCGGCGTAAAACCGAAACCAGATACTGAGTTGGAGGCACAGAGGATCTTAAGCCCCCTGGCCCCCCAAAACCACGAATCCCTGGGACTCGTTGTGGGCCCCGAAAAATCGGGCGCCCCAGATCCCCGAGACATCTCCCAGGGTGGCGGGTAGAAGTCCGAGCTCGTCAGCTCCTTCTCAAGCCGCCTACAGACTCGACTAGCCTAGCCGATTACCGATCGCTGCGCAACAAGCAACAAGTAAAAGACATATGAACAAGACAACAAAGAACAGAAATTAAGCACTGGCCAGCTTACCTCCCGGTGGGTGTCAGTGTCAGTCTCTAGGGGGAAGGGTCTCCAATCTCGGTGGGACCTCCAATGAAAGACCCCCCCGAGACCCCAAGAGTTTGGAGCCTGTCAGGGGGGAAGGCCCTTGCCCCCAAGAGACGAGACCAGACCACTGGATGCAAGTGCAAGAGGTTGTTTATTGTTTACACAGGTACCTGTGGACGCTTCAGTCTTTCGGGGGACTGAGCGTGCTGAGGTTAAAACTCAGGCAGTTTATATAGGGTTGGGGTGGCAAGAAGCAGGCTTATAGAAGCAGAAGCATGGTTACAGGGATTTCATTGTTTCATCTAAATGTTGCAGTTGTAGTTAACCAAGGACAGTTGGTTATTCGGGTTGGGCACAAAGAATACAAAGAATTCAGTTATGACTATCTCAGCATACTGGACACTGTCCTGCTGACCTTGCTTTGGTCCAAGCTGCAGACCACAGATATCTGGTTGGCATTGGATGAGAGCAGCACCTGGTTCCCTCCTGTACTTTTCTCATAACTTGACTTTGGCAAATTAGCAAGAGCAATTTAAACAGGCAATAAGCATAGTGGGGGTCTTTCACTGCCAACAAAGGCTACCCTAGTGTTGACCCTGATGGCTAAGTGAGCAGGTTGCATGTGAGTGTGTTGGGGTCAGGCTGTCCCCTCCTAAGGCATTACTGCTGTGAGCTATTCTGCCCCAGTGCAGTAAACAACCACAGGGTATCATTTTCCCCAGTGGGTCCAAATGGCTCAAGTCACTGATGCCTTCAGCGCCTATGGCTGGCAAACCAGGAGAAGGGCCGTGGGCATGGGGCCTGGAGGACACGAACAGTGCGTGGTGAACGCCAGGCTTTGATAGTGGCATCATCACTGGCTGTCAACAAGAGCTCCTGCTCCTGGGGGCTAAAGGCTACCGAGTTGACCATATCCTCGTGCTGCAGTTTGGCTAGGCAGATGTTGTAGTGGCGGTCCCAGATATAGCCATGCCGATCTTCAGCCCCACTGGCCACAAAATCTCTGCTGACATCCAAGAAGATGAAGAAGCACTCGTCATTGGGCGTGTAGGCATGGTGCGCTCGCAGAGCCCGCTTCACCTCCCGCATGGTCTTGAGGTCGAACACCAGCAAGTCAATCTCCTCTGCAATGGGTGGTGGCTGCATGGGGTCAGCAACCACTGAGCCAGGAGGCCAGACACGGCTATTCACATAGAGGTACCTGTTATCAGGAGACAGGCCCATGCCAATGATGTGCCTATACACGTCAATAACATGGTCCAGTGCATCAAAGAAGGCATTGGAGGCCCGGCCCTCACCAAGCATAGGCCCTGCTGTAGTCATCTGGTGTGGCAGTATCTGTTTGATGCCGATCTGATGTGGTGAGTGAGGCAGCCAGTGGTGAAGATGAGGCACTTGTTCCTGGTATCAGCATCACTACATTCTGGGGGTTTGGTGTGGCCCTGGGCCAGCAGCTCAGCCACCTTGGTCCCAAGTGCACAATCTGTTATCTGTGCATGTCCATCCAACACATTATCCAACATGCGCCGCAAACCTTCCTTGACACGGCCAGAACCAGAGGTGTGCAAACCTGGGTCAGGGACCTCTTCTTCACTGTCCCCACCTAGGTCAAAGACACTTAAGAAAATGCTCCACATCCTTAGCTATCAGGGAAAAACAAATCAAAACAACTTTGAGATACCATCTTACTCCTGCCAGAATGGCTAAAATTAGAAACACCAATGATGACTCATGTTGGAGAGGATGTGGTGAAAGGGGAACACTCATCCACTGCTGGTGGGAGTGCAAACTCAAACAGCCATTTTGGAGATCAGTATGGCATTTCCTCAGGAAAATGGGAATTAGTTTACCACAGGACCTGGCAATCCCCCTCTTAGGCATATACCCAAAGGATTCACATCCATGCAACAAAGACATCTGTTCAACTATGTTCATAGCAGCACTATTTGTAATAGCAAGAACCTGGAAGCAACTTAGATGCCCCTCAATTGAAGAATGATTAATGAAGATGTGGCACATTTACACAATGGAATACTAGTCTGCAGAAAAAAATAATGATATCTTGAAATTCGCAGGCAAGTGGATGACACTTGAAGAAACCATCCTGAATGAGGTAACCCAGTCACAAAAAAGAGAAACACAGTATGTACTCACTCATATATGGATTTTAGACCTACATCAAATGATCACCAGCCTATAATTCACACCACCAGAGGAACTAGGATACAAGTTGTATTCTAAGAGATTCATATAAAGTCCCTCACAGAACTGGGAAGGGACAATTCCCCCAGACCTCAGGTAAAGTGGGGGAGGACAGCAAATGGAGAGAGAAGTAGGAGAAAATGAGAGGGAGGAGAGGAAGGCATGTGCAACCATGAGGATTGAGCCTGGTTAGGAATGGAAAATAGGAAAGAGAGAGAGAGAGACAGAGAGAGAGAACATAAAAGAGGGAGCCAATATTGGTTTGAAGATAAAGTTGAACACAAAGAAAGGTCGAGAGAACTACAAGACTGCTCCCAACTAACAATCTCAGCTTCCGTGGAAAGGCTATCATAAATACCCTTCCCGGAGAGTGAGATCAACAACTAACTTATCCATGGAGCCCTCAACTAATGCCTGTTGGAAACAGGATAAAACACCCATACATAAACACTGAGTCGAACTAGAACCCAGATGCAGATGGAGAGGACAAGACCATGTGGCAGAAACACATACAGACAGCTTACCTGAACAAGGAGGACCTAACGGCCACTAGACTGATAGCTAGGAAGCCAGCCTGGGACTGACTCAGGCCTCACTGCATATGGGTCTCAGGCAGAAGGACTGAGCAGTCTAAGGGACCTCAGACAATGGAGCCAGGATGTATCCCTGGTGCAAAAAATGACTTTGAGAACAATTCAGTGGTTTTAATGTACTGTTTCTGGAAATAAAATACAAGAACTAGCATAGTTGGTATTTACACCATAGGTTTATCCTGTGTCGTTTTACTGAAATCTCATGCAACTTGGTCCAGTTCTCTCCATAATAAGAACAGTACATGTGCATAGCTGACTGTTTCTCTATGATCTGTTCTGTAGGCCACTTTTGCACTATTATTCTGGAAGTTTTTCTCAGATACTGTAGTCCATGCTCAGGTTTTGGCCTTTAGGTATGGCCATGAAAATGTTCAGAGCAGAAAATATCAGAAAATTGTGGTGGGGACAGCAGCATCTCTCAAAATGTTCAAGAGTTTAGCAACCAATTCCAGTGCTTACTCATTGAAAAGTGGGCAGAGTGGTACACATTCTGGAGAAGAAGGCGGAAAATTCTAGGGAGAGCACTGCTTGAGATTGAAGCCAGAAGAACTAGAAAGCTTCCCTTGCATGGGGGTCCATAAAGGAGGGGGAGGAATATTATTTGTAATCAGGTCACTATGTGAAGAAGAGGAAGTCTGGACAGCCAAAGTAATCATGAGATCACTGTCCTGTATGTACAAGTCTTTGTGTGAAAGTTTTGTAGCCACAGAGTATCTAGGTTATGAGGTCCTAGGAATGTCACAGAAATGACACCACCTAACAGACTTCACCAATTTGAAAAGTGGCTACTTCTGAGTGAGGATGGAGACACTGGCAGGATCAGATGTCAGATTTAAGGAGAGGTAGGGATATGGTGCATTTACATATGGAAAACCTGGGTAAGGTGGGGACAGAGGAAATGTCCCTGGTGATAGGAGGGCATTGTTGCTGAGACATTAGGCAGGGTGAGGATGAGGGTAGGAACCTCCTGGTTCTGGAATGTGGACAGTTCTTAGCTAACTAACACTTTGCATAAATTTCACAGAAAGGTAAAATAACAAAAGTGATGATGGAGAATGCATGCAGACTAAGTATCTTCCAGAGAAAGATACTTAGTATTCATTGGGATGGATAGATATATTTGCACTCAGTTGAGTTAGAAAGCTGTTGTTAAAAAGCTGATGGAACCCTAATTGTGTAATTGGCATTAAAACAGTGCTGTAACACAGGCATAAAACCCAATCACCGGGTAGTAGTGGTGCATGCCTTTAATGCCAGCACTCAGGAGGCAGAGACTGGTGGATTCTGTGACTTCAGGGCCAGCCCAGTTTACAGAGCACATTCCAGGACAGCCAGGCTACTCAGAGAAAACCTGTCATACAAAACAAAAACAAACAAACAAAATCCCAATCCTTAAAAAAGTATGTTAGTGTCACTGTATCATTGAAATCTAGACAACAATCTTTTAATTAATTTACACAAAACAGTGCCTATAATTTAGTGCTTACACTAGATAGTTTTCAAAATCGAGTAAAGCTCAAAGGTTTTAAGACCATATGGAGGACTTATTTGTTTCAAGGTGCTCATTAAACCCCATGACTGTCTAAATAATACTCCATGTTGCATTGTACTTAGTGTAAAGGATGCTACAGTTGAGGCTCTGTGAATGTTATTTTCCTGCAACCTATGTTTTAGAGGTGTGGAAAGCTTACTCAGTCATTCAGACATGTGTGAGCAAGATCACTTAGTGCAACATAAATTAAAATGAGAACATTTGGTGGGGGTTAAGATGATAGGTTGTGGGTGTAAAACTTCAGAAACCTGGTGTTAACAATAAGTCTATATAGTCCCTTGAGGTTTCCAGAGGAAAGTATTGTAGGCTGCTGTGTGGTCTTCAGTTTCGTTTTAAGCTTGTTTATAATAACCAAAAGTAGGTATGTACTGTAAGACCCGTGGAGGGCATGGACCCTCATGCCCCAACTCAGGAAAGACGGCCCCCCAAAATCACTCATGAGAAGCGGTCCTGATGCAAAAGCATGAGGTCTTTTATATTCCAGTACACTGGGGTCCGCAGCCATACTCCATGTGGGGTTAGGAAAAGACAAAACTTGCAGTGAATCCTAATGCTGGCTGTTTTTACTGGGTCTCCAAGCTTGCATCCCTAAGTGAGATAGGATCATCTTTAAGTTCTGGGGACTTCTCACCTTAAGCCTTTATTCCTGCAACACCAAGCCTGCATTCTCTCCTTTTGACTGTCTAGTTTTTAGTGTCTTCTAGGCTTTTCTGCCTATCTTTTTCTGCCTCCTTCTTTTTCCACAAAGTCAGTGTCCAGGTTCAGGATGGCCGCCTAACTCTGTGTCAGGGAGAAAGAAAGCAACTAACGGGGAGTGGGGGTGTTGTAGACATTGTGTAATTAAAAATGGCTGAGAGAGTGTAAGGAATTGGGAGGAAGTGTGTGGACAGCTGTTAGATATCCTCAAGTGGGAAAGCATAGATTCCAGGAGCATCAATGTGCATAACAAGCTGGGTGTGTCTTGATATTAAAGAGGCAGGGGACTGAAATATCATTCACTGATTTTACTCTGTAAGTACATGCCTTCCATGTACTTACATGTACTACATGTACTACATGTAAGTGTAGGATACATGGCTCAGGGTGGGGTTGGAGTTGGGATGGGTCAGGGTGGGGCTGGAGTGGGGGCTGTGCACAGATGGATGCTGGCTGAAAGAGTGTAAAAGCATGGTATATGACTTCATGCTTCATGAAGCTGCTTCATGCTAGCACCCTTGGGTGTGGGCTCAGATTAAGATTCCCTTCCTTTCAGGTGAATGAAGGAGAGAGGATGGTGGTTTCCTCTTTCCAAAGTGCTGCTTCTCATCTTCTCATGACCCCTGGAAACATGCATGGCTTCCATCAGAGATAAAATCAAACAAACAAACAAACACTCCTTTAAAGGTAACTAGCTATCTTTATTTAATTTTATATTCTACATTATTAAAGTTGAGGGCACATTTTTGTTCAAAATGAAGCAAAAGAAAGCTCCCTGTCACAATTGAGGAGATTTAAAGTTCGTTTTTGTGGAATACACAACAAGAACAAGGATATTGGTATCTACAACATAGTTTTACCCTTCCTATTTTCTGTTTTCTGGCCATCAGGTCTTCTCACTGCTGTGGGATTATGAGCTCCAGAGTGTTCTGTGGGCCTTTCTCACTGGGGTCCTGTATGCCTGTCCCATCTGAGCCAGGGGAAAAGTGTAAACCTTGTTAGGAATAGATGGACACAGGGACCATTTACGATGGTGGGTGACTGCACTTGTAGTCTGTGCTGTGGCTGCAGTACACTGACCCAAGGCCTACATTGGGCAAGGCCTGCCTTGGTAACATACAGTCAGCCCTGGGGTGCACTGCATGGGTCCCCTTGACCACTTTGAACCTGTGCAGGTACCATGCTCTAGCCTGTGTGAACGCCCACAGGACAGGGCTGACCTTTGATCCTGCTTTCCTGCTCAGAGTCACACCTGTCTCCAGGGTAAAGTAAAGCCTGTAGGGACCTCCTTCCAGGACCCATTGAAGTTCTTGTGTTACAGTTATAGGATAAAACTGCAGGGGGTGTGGTCCTGTGTGGGGGTTCCCAAGGTAAGGGACCACCTAGGAGAGCATAGCAGGTTCATAGCAGGAGAGGGTGACCGTGGTGAGGGAAATACATGCCAGGCAGATGGAGCTTGAATGAGGAGTTTATTTAGAAAGGGGAGTGAGGGGGAAGGGAAGAGACATAGAGGCAGCAGGAACTGAAGACAAGAGATAGAGAAAGAGAGAGAGGGAAGGAGAGGGAGAGTGACA